CTCGAGCGCGATGCGTCCGGCGTCCGGTTGCCGTCAACGGCACCGGTGACGTTTGGAGTGCGTGCGTGCGCGCGTGTATGCGTGTGCGCGTGCTTTAGCGAGAATACAGCTAAGGACGTGGTGATCTGGAAGCTTAGGGAACGTTTAAACAGCACCTGAAATTAAAATAAATGGAACGTGGGTTTTTGTTGCCCAAGCATCCGTGAGCAAGCAGCGCCGTCTCTCGTTGAAGCGCTAGCATATGAGCACCGGCTTATGAAGCTGCTGCTGCCAACCAGCTCGTACGCACACACACGCATGCTCACACATGCATGCACACACACACGCATGCTCACACATGCACGCACACACACACGCATGCTCACACAACTCACACACACACACACACGCATGCTCACACATGCACACACACACACACGCATGCTCACACATGCACACACGCACGCTCGGCCGCCTTGCCTGTCTATAGTACGAACGGGTGATGGGGTATATATCATTGTACTATAAGTTATATATCATTGTGTTATACTATAGGTTATACATCATTGTACTATGGGTTATATATCATTGTACTATACTAGGATATGTATCATTGTACTATATGTTATATATCATTGTACTATAAGTTATATATCATTGTATTATAAGCTTTATATCATTGTGTTATAGGTTATACATCATTGTACTATGGGTTATATATCATTGTACTATACTAGGATATGTATCATTGTACTATATGTTATATATCATTGTACTATAGGATATGTATCATTGTGTTATAGGTTAAAGTTGATAAACCTCGCAGCGAAATGCATATATACCTACTGTGAGCTAGCATGTTGCAAAAATTCACTACAACTCATTTGTATTGCTACTTTCATAACACTTCTTCTCAAAATCTAAACGATATTACTTTTCTTACGAACGTAGCACCACAGTGATGTTTACACATCCGGGACACAGCGGAGCGATCGGCTCGATTCAGTAACAGTTCCTTTCTATGATAAAACAAGTTATTATTCATTATTCGATGTTTATTCAGTACAAAATTGTGAAATTTGTTTAAATCTTATCGTTAATATCTATATTACTTATGCAATCAGGAAACAAATATAGTGTTTTCGTTCCAGGAACTATTTGCGCTAGCGTAGGGCTACTGCTAGCTGTGTAACAAAACCGCGTCCGACAGACTTTTCAAAATAGTCAACTTCGGAGCACATTTCTGGCTCAATGAAAACATTTCGTGATGTTTGCACACTGCAAGTATGCTCACACTAGGTCTATGTAAGCTTTTTGTTGCGAGGTTTATCCATTTTAAATATATCATTGTACTATAGGTTATATATAATTGTATAATTGTATTGTAGTTTTGTGTCGCCCGGTTGTCCCCAAGACATCGTTTGCATTTTCTCTCTCGAAAACAGAGTCATTACTGAAGGGCTCTAGATCACCGAGGGGGCTCTAGATCACTGAGGAGCTCTAGCTCACTGAAGGGCTCTAGATCACTGAGGGGATCTAGATCACTGAGGGGATCTAGATCACTGAAGGGCTCTAGATCACCGAGGGGCTCTAGATCACTGAGGGGCTCTAGATTCGTTCCACTAGCTATGGTCGGACAATGGCTAGTATCAACGCACTTGAAGTGCGTGGTGTGAAAACAAAGAAGGGTTGCGCACGCTGCTAGATTCCCGACCCTCCCCACTGCCGCCTCCTCCTCTCTTCTGCCGGCACTCCTTCTCTCCCCTGCCTCCTCCTCTCTTCTGCCCCCGACCCGTCTCTCCTGCCGCCTCCCCCACCGCTGCCTCTCCCTCTACCCTGCCGCCTTTCTCTCTCTCTTCTTCCGGTATTTCCTCTACCTCCTGCCGCCTCCCTCTCTCCCCTGCCTCCTCCTCTCTTCTGCCCCCGACCCATCTCTCCTGCCGCCTCCCCCACCGCTGCCTCTCCCTCTACCCTGCCGCCTTTCTCTCTCTCTTCTTCCGGTATTTCCTCTACTCCTGCGCCCTCCCTTTTACTCCCCTGCCCTCCTCCCCCTTCTCGTAGCTTCTCCTTCTTTCTCCGCTACCACCGCCCCTCTTCCCTATCAGCACCTCTCTCCTTCCGTCTCCTCGCGTCGGGGGGAGGGGGGGCGGATAATACAGTCAGTTGTTGTTATATGTCTGTCGTACAGCGTGCAGTCAGATCTCTGCACGCCCTCCACCACATATCACATGCGAAACGCCCGTCTAGAACGAGAAAGGCTCGAGAGCTTGAGTCGTGTAGCTTGTGCGTTGTGTGTGTATCGTGTGTGTGTGTGTGCTGTCTACTGGTGTGTGTCGTGTGTGTGTGGTGTGTGTGTGTCGTGTGCTGTGTCAAATTCCGCACGTGTGTGCGTTGGAGGATGTGTGGGCTATGTGTGCGTGTTTAGGTGTTGCGAGCACTCGTGCTGCGTGCGTGAGCGATCGTGTGCCTTGTCTGGTAGTGGTGCGTGCGCTGAAGGGATGTGTGTGTGTGGTGTGTGTGTGTGGTGTGCTGTGTGTGTAAGAGAGAGAGAGGCAGAGAGAAAGTGTGTGTGTGTGTGTGTTGGTTGCGTAGCGGTTGCGTGGTTTGTGCGTGCTTAGAGTGTGCGGTGTGCCGTGCCTGCCTGCATGCGTGCGGTGCTGCCTGCGTGGCGTGCGTGCCTTGGTTTGTGCGTATGCGCGCGGCCCGGCATCAGCAGTAGACGACCCGGACCGGCCATTCACCTCTCCTCTTCTTGCGTCTGCGATTCGGCATGAAGCCAATCTGTCTGTGGAGTGGCTCGCGATCATGACACACGCGCGTGCTGCGTAGTGCGTGCTGTTAGTTACAGTTAAACGACGGTCCTCAGCCTCCAAGTCTGCTGGCGAGCCGCACAATACACATACGCCGCGCCCTACTAACGCTCTGTAGCCATACCCTTCGCACTGCCACAGGCGCCTGCTATAGCCAAAAGGGCTTATATTTCTAGCAGCTTGTCGCGCCCTACAGATGATCGGAGGAGAGGTATATTAACAGTGGCTGGAGTAACGGCAGAGCGATTTGCCATGCGACCGTCGGCCGTGACTTGGCCCGCCAGAGACGGCTAGCTGAATCCGCCTTGTCGAGCGGAACAAGCTGATATTGCGAAATCTGCCGGCGTGGCCAAGCCGACGCTGTGCACGCTACGCTAATGTCAGATTCTTGCTGTGTGTTCTTCTTTATCATCTCGTTCTCTCTCTCATTCTCTCTCTCTCTCTCTCTCTCTCTCTCGCTCTCCTCTCTCTCTCTCGTCTCTCTCTCTCTCTCTCTCTCTCTCTCTCTCTCTCTTCTCTCGTCTATCTCTCTTACTCTCTCTCTCTCTCTCTCTACACTCTCTCCTCTCTACCCATCTCTCACTCAACACTCCCTCCTCCGCCTCTCTCTCTCTCTTCCTCTCCTCTCTCTCTCTCTCTCTCTCTCTCTCTCTATCTATCTCTACTTCCTCCTCTCTCCCTCTCTCTCGACTCCTCTCTCTCACTCCCTCCTTTTTCCACATCTTGTTTTCTATGTCTCTTCCTCGTCCTTCCGGTCTTCTCTCTCCCCTTCCTCTCTCTGACCCTCTCTCTCACTACGCTGTTTCTGTCCCCTCCCCCACCTCTCTCTCTCTCTCTGGGGACAGACAGACGGCTCGAGCTTATTGTGGCAGTCATGTGATGCCGTGCTGATTCACCAACGACAGCCTGCAAGCAGGAACAGTTACTATATGAGAGAGCGACATGGGGAGAGAGAGAGAGATGAGTCACTGTACATAACTTTAGCGCGAGTGTACACGTGCGTGTGCCCCGTGCTGCCGCTTCTGCCGCTGCTGCGGGATCGGTAGGCTGCATTGCTGGCTGGCTGGTCGGATGGCTGCTGCTTCTGCTGCCAAGTTCATGCGGCAGTGCAAGGGTGAATAAAACCTCCGACCTCCCAGCCGCCCCCATCTTCACCTCTCATCGCTGTTCTGTTCCTATGCTTTTTTCTGCTACTGCATCCCCAACGTTTACATCGCTCCCCTTTGTATCAGGCGCTCTCAATGCCTTCCTTTTCTTCCCCTCTCCTCTCCTCTCCTCATCTTCCCTCTCCTCCAGATTCCTATCTTCTCCACTTCTGAGTTCTCCCATATGTTCCCCTCCCCTCTTCTTTCATCCTTTCCCTACTCTTGCTCCTCTTCCACACTTCTCTCCTGTTGTCTATCTATGTACTCTTTCTCTCCACATTCCTATCATTTCCTGCCTCGCTTCTAAACTCTTCTATCACCTCTCTTAATCTTATTAAACAGATAGCAATAATGATGAAACCCTACCAGAACACAGTAAACCTACAGGCATCACTACGATATCATAATAACAAAGCTACAACACAGGTGTTGCTATGATGTAACACCACACCTGCACTCTATAGGTATGACAGCTATGATGACATCACTATGCACATGATGTCCACGTGACAACAACGACGACGCTACAACATACTACAGGATAGGTATCACCATGACAACATAACAGCAGGACAGTTATCACCGTGACAACGCCGATGCTACTACAACCTACCTACAGAACAGTTATCACTTATCACCATGACAACGCCGATGCTACGACAACCTACCTACAGAACAGTTATCACTTATCACCATGACAACCCGATGCTACGACAACCTACCTACAGAACAGTTATCACTTATCACCATGACAATGCCGATGCTACGACAACCTACCTACAGAACAGTTATCACTTATCACCATGACAACGCCGATGCTACGACAACCTACCTACAGAACAGTTATCACTTATCACCATGACAACGACGACGCTGCTACAACGTACCTGCAGCACACGCATCACCGTGACAACAATGCTGATGCTACTGCCATGTACCTGCATGATCGGCTATCACCGTAACAAACTAACAACGCCGATGTTGCTACAACCTACCTGCCAGACAGTTATCGCCACGACAACATACATGCAGGACAGGTATCACCGTGACAACGGTGACAACGTACCTGCGGGATCGGTATGACGATGAACGAGCCGCCGCCGGCCGCCTCGGTGATGATTGCGAGGAACTTGGGATTGACGACGCAGAACGGAGAATCCCACGAACTCTTCGTGATGCGGATGCCATCGTAGCATTCCTGCCGCTTCGCCGACTGGCCGTAGATGTGACGGAACTTGCTGTCGCGCACGACACGGAACGACATCGTCTGCGAGCGAGAGAGACGGGAACCGACATCTATATTACCTTATACTCGTGTGTATATATGTATACAGGGCTCCCTCTGGATATTTTAAAGATTGAGCCAAAACTTGAGCCACTAAAGCATAAACAGCTGATGGTAGCCCTGTATATATATCAATATATATATACTCATATATATATATACAGTGTTTCCCCCGCATTGACACGAGCGAGGCGGCCGCCATGCAGAAATTTATCCAAAACCACCGCCTCACGGACGAAAATCACTGTTCTTCCATCAATCAACTACACTTTATTGAACTAATATCAAAATAAAGCTCCAAACGTAAAACACAACGCCGCGTACTCATTTAAGTGTCAGTTTCGATGTTTACACTCCCCACAAATCACACTGAATGCTTGATATAATATATATATATATCAGGGGTTAATAATGGCAAAATGCATAATAAACAAATAGTAATCATTATTAACCCCTGATACATATAAGTAAAAACGCACGGATTATATTATCCACATCTAATCTGTATAATATCCGTCTTTTATCTGTGTCACGTGATCCAACCGTCATGCTGTCACAATTGACTATCACGTTGACATAATACTCAGACACGCTGCGGCGCGTCACTGATTTTCACTTCATCATCACATACGGACCTAATAGTTAAACATGTAATGACGCAATGCATAGATCGTCAATTGACATCACGGTGAGCATATAATAAACCATATATGCCTTAATGATAGTTATTATAACCCTATATTATATGCTCTTGATATCACTTCATTGTCGAGTGAGTGATAATTGATATCATACCTCGATTGGTTGTTATGCTGACGTAACACTCAGACACAATGAGGCGATGTCACGTGCACACCTATCTATGTACAGCATGAGCTAGAGCATGAGCTAGAGCATGAGCATGAGCTAGAGCATGAGCTAGAGCATGAGCATGAGCCTGAACTAGAGCATGAGCTAGAGCAGTGGTTCTTAACCTTTCTTGAGTCATGGATCCCTTTGAGAATCTAGTGAAAGCTACGGACCCCTCCCCAGAAAAATGCACATAAGGTGATTAGAGACTAAGGATGACTTAAGCTGCAACTACGGACCCCCTGAAGCCCATCCACAGACCCCAAAGAGGTCCATGGACGACAGGTTAAGAACCCCTGATCTGCTTGGGTCATTGAGAATCAGGGTCGTAAGCCGGACACTACCTCACATCAACAACGCATCCTTGTTAGTTGAAGTGGCAATAACAGGCCCCGTAATGACGTGTTACGTGCGTATAACTGCAGCCTTGGGACCATCTTGAGGCCATAAGATTGATCACTTCCCCATTGTTCTTGACTTTGCGAGTAAAAAAATCCGTCTAAAAATTCTGACGGGTGCTGGGAGTAAATGCCACATGGTTACTTCACGCTGTGTGCACTGGGCCTATCCACAAACAACCGTATTACCAGGTCGTTCGTGTGAGTGACACGTCAAGACTAGCTATTACATTCAGCTAACACTCAAAACCAACAAGCTAATGCAAAAATGTAAAATATCTCACAACCCTGCCATTTAAACTGTGCTGTGACTGTGCATAGCACCCCATGTTGTGATTGAATAACGTCGCTTGTCATAAAACACACGTTATCACGTTAAAAACCGCCATAATATTTTCCCATTTTCCTTGTTAGTAGAACAAATCAATTTGACGAGTTATCTACTAAACATTTGTAGACAAATAACTTCAAGCATTGTTACTGTAGCAGATAGGGTCCATGTCCCCCAGGGTACTGCCGGAACGTACCCTGGGTACAGTCCGGTATACCGGAACGTACCCTGGTAACTATCTGATATGCCGGACCGTACCTCGCTTACTCCCTACCGTACCCTGACTGTCCCTGTTCCGCCCACTACTGATGCCGCAAAATTTGAAATATACATGCATACAGACCTGTATGATATCTTTATAAAGTTGGATTGGAGTATGAAACTGTAAAACCAAGAAGAAATATCAACCTATATACACTGATGCGCGCAATCCTTTCGCAAATATCGCGATGATTGGGAATGCGTTTTCCTTTCGCAATGTTTACGACATTTTCGCGCGAGATTTTTGAAAGATGGCTCCAAGTGTTGTGGTGGAACAGAAAAATGTGTATGATTATCTTAATGGGTTGAAAACGTATAGACTCGCTGACACTTGTAGAAAGGGTCGGGAGGTGAAACGTAACAGGGCAAAGGTTACGAATATTTTGCGGGAACGGACCGGAAACAAGGATCGGGAGCATAAAGCGGCGTGTTTCCTGCCTATAAGCGGTATGTATTACGACATCAGCTGAAAGTCAGGGTACGGTTTAGAGTAGGCGAGGTATGGTCCGGCATATTAGATAGTTACCCGGTATACCGAACCGTACCCAGGGTACGTTCCGGCAGTACCCTGGGGGACATAGACCCTATCAGCGTTACTGTAGGCCTAACGTTTCTCTATTCATAATAATGTACCATACACCTAGACCGAATAATTTTGTCCCATATAACCTTTTTTATATTTTGGTGAGGGTTATATTGGGACAGAACGGGGTTCATTGAAATTTCGTGAGATCGCATGCAAAATGCATGCGCTGCTAATGCGGCCCGTACGCCGCTATTGGCACGAAAAAAAAACCTACCGTTCCCTTCTACATGGCTTTACCTTGCTACTGATATGTGTATACATTCACTTCAATCGTTATTTACTTCTTAAAATATTATTTTCAGAAACCCCGCTTCATTAACTTTAGTAAATTCTGTTGGCCATTTACAAACAATCAGACCAATCAGAGCGAGTCTTACAATAGCCCTGGTTCTCGCTTGTATCTGTGGCGCTGCAGGAGGCCTGATAGACTCGCTGTGATTGGTCTGATTGTTTGTAAATGGCCAACGTAATTTACTAAAGTTAATGAAGCAAGGTTTCTGAAAAACAATCTTCTAAGAAGTAAATAACGATTGAAGTGAATGTATACACATATCAGTAGCAAGGTAAAGCCATGTAGAAGGGAACGTTAGGTTTTTTTTCGCGCCAATAGCGGCGTACGGGCCGCATTAGCAGCGCATGCATTTTGCATGCGATCTCACGAAATTTCAATGAACCCCGTTCTGTCCCAATATAAAAAAAGTTATATGGGACAGAATTATTCGGTCTACCATACGCCGTGACTTGCATACTGTACTACAAGGACCACAATATAAATAAGTGTGCTAGTCATGCTTTTTGTGGATATATCCTTGGTAGTTATCCAATTTTATGAATTCAGAATTTTATTGTAAAAGTATGCTATGTATTGTATATGATGGATAATTGCCTAATTAAATATATAAAACACAAAAAATAGAGTATTTTATCTAACAACGTCATTAAACATTAGTCTCCTATTCACCGTAATAACATTTAATCGGGAGACAGAGAAAAGTGACTTTGAACTTCGCGGAAGCGAACACCCGTAGTTTTACGACTTACAAACTACAAACCGGTGCTGCTTAGTACTAATTAATACTAATAGTAATACTAATACGTAATAGTATAGACACTACTATAGTGCTCGATTTATACTGCTTTACGCACTCATACTCATAGTCATACGTAGTTCTTGTTTATACTCACTAGTTGCTATGTAAGCTCAGTTGCTCAGACCGAGACGAGTTGCTCTGTAATCAGTAAGTTACACAACGCGTTCTAAGCGTTTCATAGTGGTCTCTCCTTTTTTCACGCAATGTATCTAGTATAGGCCGGAGGCCGTATTTCTCACTGTTCCTCACTTCTGTCACTCATCACAAGAACGAACAAATTCAACAAGTACCTACCTACTACTACTACTACTACTAGTACTACAAAAAACATAGCCACGCACGAGAATTCAACATTTTCGGATTCATTCACTAGCAACGACAGTCGATATTCATACAGCCCACAAATTAAACGTAAATGATGCTTACTTCTTGGTAGGATAACCAAGTTATCTATGTCTCTCTACACGGTAACGTCGGCTGATGCGATATATCCAAATGCAGCTTCACTTTTTGTGCCAAGATAAATCGACAGCAACGCCACCGCTGTTGTCAACGAGCGCCACCTACATTCACTGTTTGCGTTTTACAGGCGTTCATAAATTTTCAGTAACTTGCACAGATACAAAAAGCAGTTCCCTCACTTATAGCGGCGTGCAACGGTCATTAAAAGCACAATGTAGAAATGTGAGCAAATTTTATGATTAACAAGCAAAATTGTGAGATTGGGAACATGAATGTGAATGTATGAACGGGAACATTTAGATCGGTGTTTCCCTTTTTATTTTTGAGTTTCCCACCGGTAATTTTACTTTACCGGGAGATTTTGTTCCTGAGCTTCCAGGCTGATTCCAAGAAATGTTTAACCTTCTCTACCCAATCCCCATATAACTATGGGGCGCCAAGTGTCGCATGACTGATTTCGTTACGAAATCATTGATTTCGTTACGAAATCAAGTCTACAAAGTCATTTCGTTACGAAATCAACTACTGCGAGTGATTTCGTTACGAAATCAAGCGACACCGGCGCGCCAAGTGTCGCATGACTGATTTCGTTACGAAATCAATGATTTCGTAACGAAATCAGTCATG